CTAGGGACCGAGTTGAAGTGGTCCGTCCACCGTCGGGGACTCCATCCCCTCCCCAACATTCAGCATACGGTCCCAGCCGAAGTGCCAAAAGGGCTGGTTTGCTTACGTCCTAATTCACCTCCGCCAAAATGACAATAATGGTCTACCAGTAAAAATGAAGTGAACAGCGTTACTCAGAAAGTGAAAACTAGTAGTCATTCTTCTCATCAGTGTGTAGAGCCACAATGGTGCTCAAAAGTCTTTGGCCAAATGCATTTTCTTCCGAAATTTTTTTTACTTAATCAATTCAGTTCAAATTTTGACATGTTTGAGGCAAGCATTCTTACTGGGCCAGCATGCTAGTGTTGGATGGGAGATAGGATTAAAGAATGAAAAATATTTTGACTAAAATTCTCGAGTATGCCAAATTCCAAGTAAGATTCAAATTATTGTAGAAAGCTTATAATTCAACAAAACAATCGATCGCATGGTCAAAAACACCAAGCATCTTCAGTGCTTCCCTGGGCACCTTTTGTAGTTGCTATAACCTCAGCAGAGCCTAACCAGGGAAGGCATTCAACTTCCCATGGAACTTTGAGATGAGACCCAGATATATCGATAGAGCTTCAAACGCTGATTACAAATATGGAAACTAAAACTGCAAAATGAACCTGCCAAGGAAGTTGTGAGCAGTCAAAGTTGGCTGGAAGTAAAGCATTACACTAGCCTCCGGGCTTTCAGAGTCGCCGCGGAGTAGTGGTGGTGCTGTCGCTATTCAGCCGATTGGACATGAGCGCTCCTCCCTGTTGGAGTGCTAATTTTGAGGGCACTACCGCTACTCCACGGCGACTCTTAACACGTTGACGACAACGCGCGTTTTGGGTTTTTGCGCCGCGTGGGACCACGGCGATTTTGCAGGCGCCGCCGCCTCACATAAATCCGTGAATTTTGAGCTTTAAATACGAACCGAAGCGGAAGAGCACACGCTAGAATGCAGGGAAAAATCTCCTCCACTAGGACGGATTTACACCACTCTAGTTGGTTTGTGGGAACAAACCTACTAGAGTGGTGTAAAAAAATGTTCTCGGTAGAGGCCATCACGTTCCCCTGAGCCAAGCATTTAATACCAACTTCATAGGGTGAGACTAGCTCTTTTAATCTCATCAAAAAATGGTCGTCATAGTTCCCTGTAAAGGGATACACACCTCAGAACACTCTCAAAATGGTGTAATTCTTACACAGGAAAAAATAAAACTAGAGGTGCGAACT